AGGTTAATTCTGAAGAACTTTATTTTTCTTGTTGCTATAGCAAATGGGATATTTTTTTTCTGTTTTCTGTTTCTGATGTGTCTTTGTTGGTGTACAAAGATGCCTTCAATTTCTGAATATTGACTTTGTATCCCACTGTTTTGCTAAATTAACTTATTAGGTATTTTTTATGGAATCTATAGGGTTTTCTATGTACATTATCATTTCATCTGCAAGCAGTGACTTCCTCCTTTTCAATTTGGATGCCTTTTATTTCCTTTTCTTGTCTGATTGCTATGGCTACGGCTTCCAATACTATGTTGAATACAAGTGGTGAAAGTGGACATCTTTGTTTTGTTCTTGATCTTAGTGGTAAAGCTTTTAGATTTTGCTCATTGAGTATGATGTTCGCTGTAGGTTTCTTGTATATGGCCTCTATTATGTTGAGGTAGTCTCCCTCTATTTCCACTTTGCTTAGTGTTTTTTGTTTTTCTTTCATAAATGGGTACTGGATTTTATCAGATGCTTTTGCAGCATCCATTGATATGATCATGTGACTTTTGTCTTTCCTTTTGTGTATGTGATGTACTATGTTTATTGATTTGCAAATATTGTACCATCCTTTCATCCTTGGTACTTCTTGATCTGCCTGGTGTCATTTGTATCTCTCAGTTCCCCTTTTTTGTCCCTTCACCCTGAAAGCTGATTTTTTTGTTTAAATTCTTCCCCTGGGATATGTTTATTGATTTCAGAGAGAGATTAAGGGGAAAAGAGAGAGAAAGAAACACTGATCAATTGACTTCCTATGTGCCCCGGCTGTGGACAGCCTACAGCCTAGGTGTGTACCCTGACAGTGAATCGAATCTGTGACCTTTTGGTGTACCAGATGATGCTCCAACCACCTGAGCCATTATATTTCCTGTTCTGCTGCATGGTTCCCACAACTGTACCAATGTCCAAGGCAAAGTGGTGTTTGTTTGTATGTCACTCATTCCTTGAGGTTCCTGCTTTGCAGCAGGCAGAGAGATATTGATGTTTGGAATTAATTCAAATTATAAGTCCTACTTTTCTCAAATGCATACTTGTAAGTAGGCCTGTTCCTGGTTTTATATTTTAAAGCATTTACAGCAGAGATGATCTTTTTAGTGACATGAGTCTTATAAAATCTTTTTTTTTAAGAAAAAAACATTTTTAAGGTAGTAGTCTGAGAACATTTGTTATTCTTAAGGTTGTTGCCTCCCTTCTCAAGTCAAATTCTGAACATCGATATGACATCACCCATAAAAATGTAATTTATCTATGTTGGAAATTTGGCAAGCACTTATTCTTCATTGTCAGTCATTATTGCCTGTTGAACTTTTCTGTATACACATTCTCAGGCCCCATCCCTAGAGATTCTGATTTAGTAGGTATACAGCACAATACATAAAGAAGAAAATTACCTACATGCTGGACTTCTGGCCAAGATGAAGGCATAGGTTAGTATACCTTGCCTCCTTGAACAACCAAAAGATGGACAACAAATTTAAAAATAAAAAACAACCAGAACTGACAGAAAATCAAACTGTACAGAAATCCAACAATGAAGGAGTCAAAGAAGAAACATTTGTACAGATTGGTAGGAGGGGCAGAGGTGGGCAGCCAAGTGGAGAGGACTCACAGCGAGGCAGTGGCTGATGGAGCAGGCAAGGCAGCAGCTGGTAGATCAGGTGGTCCCATGTTACTGTGCAGATAAACCAGGAAGAACAAATGGGGAGGGAGACAGACTGCACAACTCAGGGTTCCAGTGCAAGGAAATAAAGCCTCAAAACCTCAGACTGAAAAAACCTCTGAGGTTTGAGGCAGTATGAGAAGCTCCCAACCTCATAGGAAAGTTCATTGGAGAAACTTACAAAGTCCTAGAATATACACAAAATCACCCACCCAGGAATCAGCACCGGAAGGGCCCAGTTTACTTGTGGGTAGCAGCGGGAGTGACTGAAAGCCAGTAGAGAGCTGAACAAGTGGCATTGTAACCTTTCTGACCCCTCCCCCACATACAGCGCCACAAAACAGCCATGTGGATTACCCACCCTGAGAATAGAATACCCAAGGCTCCACCCCTTACTACATAACAGGTGCGCTGAGACAAAAAAAAAAAAAAAATGGCCCAAATGAAAGAACAGATCGACGCTCAAAAAATATATAAATAAGCAATGAAGAGATAACCAATCTGTCAGATTCACAGTTCAAAACACTGGTAATCCAGATGCTCACAGAATTGGTTGTGTGTGGTCACAAAGCAGAGAACAAAGTGAAGGTTATGAAAAATGAAATAAAAGAAAATATACAGAGAGCCAACAGTGATGGGAAGGAAACCGGGACTCAAATAAAAAATTTGGAGTGGAAGGAATAAATAAATATTTTGCCAGAACAGAATGAAGAAACAATAATTTAATATATCAGGACATGCCTAAGAACCTCTGGGACAACTTTAAACTTTCCAACATCCAAATTATAGGGGTTCCAGAAGGAGAAGAAGAGCAAGAAATTGGAAATTTATTTGAAAAAATAATGGGGAACTTCCCCAATCTGGCAGAGGAAATAGACTTCCAGGAAGCCCAGGAAGCTCAGAGAGTCCCAAAGAAGGTGGACCCAAGAAGGAACACACCAAGGCACATCATAATTACATTAGCCAAGATTAAAATGAAGGAGAGAATTCTAGAACAGCAAGAGATAAGGGGACAGTCACCTACAAAGGAGTTTCCATCAGACTGTCAGCTGATTTCTCAAAAGAAACCTTGCAGGAAAGAAGGGGCTGGAAAGAAGTATTCTAAGTCATGAAAGACAAGGACCTACATCGAAGATTACTCTATCCAGTAAAGCTGTCACTTAAAAGTGCAGATAAAGTGCTTCCTAGACAAGGTCAACTTCAAGGAGTTCATCGTCACCAAACCCTTATTGCATAAGATGTTAAAGGGACTTCTCTAAGAAAAAGATAAAAAACTATAAACAGTAAATAAGAAGACATCCACTACTATCAACAACTGAACCTTAAAAAACAAACTAAGCAAACAACTAGAACAGGAACAGAATCACAGATATGAAGATCATGTGGAGGGTTATGAACGGGGGAGTGGGAGGGTGAGGAGGGGGAAAAGGCACAGGGAATAAGTATTATAAATGGTAGATAGAAAATAGGGGAAGTTAAAAATAGTATAGGAAATGGAGAGGCCAAAGCACTTATATTTATGACCCATGGACATGAACTAAATGGGGGGAATGCAGGTCTGAAGCAGTGTGCTTGATGGAGGGGAATAAAGGGTGGGGGGAAGGGGACAAGTGTAATAGCATAATCAATAAAATACATGAAAAGAATTATCTACATGCTATGCCTTGTCTTTTAGCACTTTTGTTTCGATGAAAGATATTTCCTTGTTCTGGTAGATTTCCTTGAGGACAAATATGTCTGAGAAAGATTGAAGTGGTATTGTTCCTTAAAGGTTATTGACTCAGTGGGTTTCCCAGGGCAGCTAGGTACCGTCTGAAGAAACAAGGTGCCAAACTGGCATTATACTGGTTTGGTTAGTAGCTCAGTTCCTGATCATCACCCAGATATTGATATATTCTTCACTGGTTCATCTTTCTTCTGGTTGTCTGTGAATTGTTGAACCTGCCATTTCTTTTTTGTTTTTAATATAATTCTTATTCCCAGTTATTTCCAACTATTCATAATTGCAATTTTTTTCCAATTTGGTTATTATAGAATAGTATATTTCTATAGTGGCAATAAGATATAATCACTAACTGAGATTATTCAATATAAGATTTTTTCAGCCCTTACAGAGGATTAATTATTTATAGTAATTAGTTATAAATAATACCAAGTGACATGTTAATGTTACATAATTTTTTGAAGAAATTTAAGAAAATGTATTTTCTTGAAAATAATACTATGTCACAATTCTTTCTAATTTTCCTGATCCTTCTTTTTGCAAAGGGCCAACACTTTCTGTATACCAATTTTTAAAAATTGCAATAAATATTTTCTTTTTCTTTTTTTCCACACTTTTTATTATTGTTCAAGTACAGTTGTCTTCATTTTACTCCCGCCACTCCCTCCCATCCCAGTCATCCTTACTTCCCATCCTTGGTCCTACCCCCTTTGGTTTTGTCCACATGTTCTTCATGTCCATGTGGTCTTGAAAACCCTAAGAAATGAACCTGCCATTTCTCAGTTGTTTTTTTCCATTTTGGCAAGGGGTAGGACTTAATGTTGTCCTATTAGTTTTTTATTGTGTTCAAGGACAAAAAGTGAAATGTTTTCAATGTTTTTTATTGAGGTATAGCATATATACAGTAAAATGCTTAATGTATACCAACCATAAGTATACAGCTTGAACTTTGCTATTATGTACTCTTGTAACTACCATATATTCAAAACATAGAACATTCCATCATCCTGACAGGTTACTTAGTGCTCCTTTCCCATTGGTAACCACTTCCCTCCAAGTCAGCCACTGTTTTTCTGATTTCTAACACTATAAATTAGTTTTTCCTGTTCTTAGATTTAATGTAAGATGCAAAATATATACTCATGTGTCTGGAATTTTTAATCAAATGAGTTTTGTGTCCAGGCTTTGCAGCATTACTTAGTATTATTGTTTCTGTCTTTTTTATTCTCAAACACCACAGCGAAACCAAAGCAGACTTAATTGACTTGTACTTCATTTTTTTTATAGGTGAGAGAATGGTAAAATTCTTTAGAAGGTTTTTCATATTTCTTTTCCCACTCTGAAAGTTTCATTGGCTTTCTGTTTCACTCACTCATATTGTATGTTATTTATTGCCAGAAATTTTTTTCTTAGCTCTCTTTTTTCCTCTTCCATATTCCTTCTATAAGTGGATAGATGAAAGGGAGATTTCTAAAATCTTATTTTCTGATTGTCATGCTAGCATTTGGTCTGGGATGAACTCAAGTCGACTTGCATGCGTACAGTTATTGTATTAATCTCATTCTTCCCCTCTGTTCTTTCTGACAGCATGATGGAAGTGGTTCATTGCAGGATGTCCAGCTATCACTGCCATCCAGTCCAGAACCAGAAGATGGTGATCAGATATGTAAGGTATGTCTAGGTAGTCATGCTGAATGTTTCAAAATTCTTTTTATTACCCAAATTGTGAAGTAACCAGAATTAAAACATTTACTAATAAATGTCTTAAAACTTTTAGCTTTGCTGCCTTGAGTTTAAACAGGTTTGCTTTTAACTTTTGCTACCTGATTAAGTTTAAATGATATCCCCATTGGGCTTTAACTTGAATTTATCAGTTGGATAATCATTTGTCTGGGATACTGGCACAGGATACTTTCTATTTTAAATATCATTATATTTTGAATATTCATTTTTATAATTATGAATAATAGCTTTAAAAATATGACTACCAATAAAAACTAAAATGATTAACAGATACTTCTTATATATCATATCATAACATTGAAAAACTATAGTGAAAAAGATTTTTTGCCCCATTTAAAAATATAATTATGCAGGGACATTTCAGGGAAAGTACATATTTTTTTTAAATAATTCTCATCTTTTGGTCTATTTTTAGTTAACAAACCTTTTTCTTTTTTAAGTATTTTTTACTGATCATATTACAGTTTCCTCAATTTCTCCCCTTTTATCCCCATTCCGCCCTGACCTCCGAACCTTCCAGCATCCCCCCTTAGTTCATGTCCATGGGTTGTACAAACAAGTTCTTTGAGTTATCTGTTTCCTACACCATTTTTTGTCTCTCCCTGTCTATTTTATGCCTACTCATTAGGCTTCTTCTTCCCTGTACTTTTCCCCTTATTCCTCCTCCCTTCCCTTCCCCACTGAACTCCCTCTGTGTGATGTCTATTTCTCTGATTCTGTTCCTGTTCTGGTTGTTTGCTTAGTTTTTGTTTTCATTGTTTTTCTGTTCTTTTATGTTTATTTGTTAATAGTTGTGAGTTTGTTGTCATTTTATCGTTCATATTTTTTTTCTTTTTTTTCTTTTTTTAATTTTTTTAATTGATTATGCTGTTACAGTTGTTCTATTCCCCCCTTCATTCCCCTCCACCCTACCCCCCATCCCCACCATTACCCCCCTTTAGTTTATGACCATGTGTCTCAAGTCCTTTAGATTCTATATTTCCCATGCTATTCTTGCCCCCCCATCTATTTTCTATCTACTGTCTATGCTACTTATTTTCTGTACCTTCTCCCCCCATCTCCTCCTCCCACTCCCCTGTTGCTAACCCTCCTTGAGATCTTCATTTCTATGTTTCCACTCCTGATCTAGCTGTCCTTTTAGTTTGCTTTCGTTTTAGGTGTGGTTGTTAATAACTGTGAGTTTGTTGTCCTTTCACTGTTCATGTTTCTTTAACTTCTTTTTCTTAGATATGTCCCTTTAACATTTCATATAATAAGGGCTTGGTGATGATGAACTTCTTGAATTTGATCTTATCTGAGAAGCACATTATCTGTCCTTCCATTCTAAATGAAAGTTTTGCTGGATAGAGCAATCTTGGTTGTAGGTCTTTGGATTTCATGACTTGGAATACCTCTTTCCAGCCCCTTCTTGCCTGTAAGGTCTCTTTTGAGAAATCTGCTGACAGTCTGATGGGGACTCCTTTGTAGGTGACTGTCCCCTTAGCTCTTGCTGCTTGTAGGATTCTCTCCTTCATTTTAATTTTGGCTAATGTAATGATGATGTGCCTTGGTGTGTTTCTTCTTGGGTCCAACTTCTTTGGGACTCTCTGAGCTTCCTGGATTTCCTGGATGTCTATTTCCTTTGCTAGATTGGGGAAATTTTCCTTTATTATTTGTTCAAATAAGTTTTCCACTGGTGGCTGTGCCTTTCCCCTTTCTGGTATCCTTATAATTCGGATATTGGAGCGTTTAAAGATGTCCTGGAGGTTCCTAAGACTCTCCTCATTTCTTTGAATTCTTGCTTCCTGACTCTTTTCTGTTTGGCCATTATTTGCTTTCTTCTGGTCCACTCCATTGATTTGAGTCCCAGTTTCCTTTTCATCGCTATTGGTTTCCTGTGCCATTCCATTCATTTCAATTAGTTTCGCCTTCATATGTTTCTCTAATTTGTGGCTATAATCAACCAGTTCTATGAGGATCCTGATGACCAGTGTTTTAAACTGTGCGTCTGAGAGTTTTGCTATTTGTTCATCGCTTAGGTCTATGAGCTCAGGGACTGTGAGAATTTGCGACATTTTTGGTCTGTTCGTGCCCTTTAAGTGTGAGAAGCGGCGCCTTGGACTCCCAGGTCGCTGGGTTATGACGCTGTATGTGGGGGCGTGGTCAGAGCGGGGAAATGGCGGCGCCCTCTACTGCCGCTTGCCGCGGGATGCCGGCCCCTGGTCCAACCGCCCACTCCCTCGCCTGTCCGCTGGCGCACAGATAGGCGACCAGTCAGCACACAGCACCGCTTCCCCGCTGTCTCCTCCGCGGTCGCTCGCCTGGTCACTCGCTGGCTCACTAGGTCCAACCCTGCGCCTGGATTCCGCGTCTGGATTCCGCGCCTGAGCCCGTCTGACCGAGTCCTCCGGTGCAATCCCGCTCCAGCAGCCACTGGTTTCGCCCCTTACCGGTCAGGCTGAAGAATTTGTTGTTAACGGACTTCCAAAAAGTTCAATTTTCCGTGTTCTGGCTGTGATTTCTATTGCTTATATTTAGTTTTCCCTAAACTTGGTTGTGTGAGAAGGCACAGCACATCCACCTATACCTCCATCTTGGTGGAAGTCCTATTGTTCATATTTTTTATCTTTTTCTTTTTTTTTGTCAAATAAGGTTTTATTCTTTTTTAATTTTTTAAGTATATTTTATGGATTGTGCTATTACAGTTGTCCCATTTCCCCCCTTCATTTCCCTCCACCCTGCACACCCTCTCCCACCCATATTCCCCCACTTTAGTTCATGACCATGTGTCTTAAGTTCTTTAGCTTCTACATTTCCCATCCTATTCTTGCCCTCCCCCTGTCTATTTTCTACCTACCATCTATGCTGCTTATTCTCTATACCTTTTCCCCCTCTCTGCTCCTCCCACTCCCCTGTTGCTAACCCTCCAAGTGATATCCTTTTCTGTGGTTCTCTTCCTCTTCTAGTTGTTTGCTTAGTTTGCTTTTGTTTTAGGTGTGGTTGTTAGTAATTGCGAGTTTGCTCTCATTTTACTGTACATGTTTTTTACCTTTTTTCTTAGTGATGTTCTTTTTCTTAATAAACCCCTTTAACATTCCATATAATAAGGGCTTGGTGATGATGAACTCCTTTAACTTGATCTTATCTGGGAAGCACTTTATCTGCCCTCCCATTCTAAATGAAAGCTTTGCCGGATAGAGCAATCTTGGATGTAGGTCCTTGCTTTTCATGACTTCAAATACTTCTTTCCTGCAGGATTTCTTTTGAGAAATCAGCTGACAGCCTTGTGGGAACTCCTTTGTAGGTAACGGTCTCCTTTGCTTTTGCTGTTTTTAGAATTTTCTCTTTATCTTTAATCTTGGGTAACTTAATGATGATATGCTTTGCTGTGTTCCTCTGCATCCAATTTATTTGGGACTCTCTGAGCTTCCTGGACTTCCTGGAACTCTATTTCCTTTACCAGATTGGGGAAGTTTTCCTTCATTATTTGTTCAAATAAGTTTTCAATTTCTTGCTATTGTTGTTTTCCTTCTGGTACCTCTATAATTTGGATATTGGAATATTTCAGGTTTTTCCAGAGGTTTGTAAGTCTCTCCTCATTTTTTGAATACTTGTTTCTTCATTCTGTTCTGGTTGGATGTTTATTTTTTCCTTTTGTTTCAAATTTTTGCTTTGAGTTGTGGTTTCCTTCTTGTCACTGTCGGCTCCCTGAATATTTTCCTTTATTTAATTTTTGGATATCTTTCATTTGTTTTTTCAGTTTTGACCCAGCTCATTCAGTTCTGTGAGCATTTTGATACCAGGGCTTTAAATTCTCCATCAGATAGGTTGTCTATCTCCTCATCACTTAGTTCTCTTTCTGAAGTTTTGCTCTGTCCTTTCATTTGGGCTATATTTCTTTGTCTTGGTGTACCTGATAAGTCGTAAGGGGGTGGGGCTCTAGGTATTCAATGGGGCAAGGCACCCTTTTTTGCTGCTGCAGTGCTGCTATGGGGGCAGGTCCAAAGAGGGAAAAATGCAGCTCTCCTGCTCATCTCTAGTGTACTTTCCAACAGACTCTCATGTGAGACTGGGAGTCCACAGTCAACTCTGAGTCTCAGTTTTGCCTTCAGCCAGCTCCACTTGCCCTGTCCACCACCTTGCCTCAGTTTTTCTGAGCTGCCCTGTCCCGCAAGGTCTGCCACCTTACCAGTCTGGTTGTTCTGGTTAATTTTTTCTTTAATTCCTTCATTGTCGGAGTTCTATGCAGTTTGATTTTCTGGCACTTCTTGTTGTTTATTGATTTTAGATTGGTTGCTATCCTTCTTTTGGTTGTGCAAGGAAGCAAAGAGTTTCTACCCAGGCCTCCATCTTGGCTGGAACTCCCAAACATTTTTCTTTTGCAAGTTTCTTTTTCTGTCCTTACCTGAGGACATGCTCATTGATTTTAGAGAAAAGGGGAGGGAGGAAGAAAAAAAGAGATATAAGTTGGTTGGATTTTGTAACGCATGCCCCTTACAGGGACTGAACCCTCATCCTAGACATATGCCCTGTCCAGGAATCAAACACCTGGTCTTTTGGTTTGCAAGGTGACATCCAAGGTGACATCCAAGGTGAGCCACATTGGCCAGGGCTCTTTTGCAACTACTTTTGAAGCATATATTATTTCTTAGGTACACACAAGTACTTCTAATTTATTTAAGTCCTGATTTATTCTTTATTTATTTAAATCTTGATTTATAAAATGCTTTCCTCTTACATTTTATTTTTAGGGTATGCCAGTCAGTGTTTGCTAGTCATCTGCATTGACAACCTCAAAATATTGGCACCTTAGAAGAAAAGTTCATTTCTCAGTTATTAATTTTTAATATCTTACATACTGGCTGTAGATCAACTAGAACTCAGTTTCATGGGGGTTTTTTTTCACTCTGAAATTGGAGCTAGAGAATCAGCCCCTACTTATCCTGGAA